ACAAGGCAACAGGTAACCCGCATCCCATCGCAGATCGTCCTCCTTATGCTCTCATTTTTTGACAGCTTGGAGCGCATCAGAGCGTACATCGATATTGAGCAAGAGCCCAAAACAACGAAGGAAGGAGTGCCACCTGCATATTGGCCGGCGACTGGCGACCTGCGAGTTGAGAACCTGTCGGCGCGATATTCAGAAGATAGCCCCAATGTTCTCCATGATGTATCGTTCCATATCAAGTCGGGTGAACGTGTTGGCGTTGGTGCGTACTTTCCTCAGTTGTTTAGATGCTCGCCGCTGAGTGCTTTCCTCTCATAGTCGGGCGTACTGGAAGTGGAAAGGTAACTGGATATCGCTTCGGATGAGCAAGGCAACGCTGATCTCGACTTTCAGAGTTCATTGACCCTGTCTCTTCTGCGTTGCATCGTCACCGAAGGCAATATGTATTATGATGGGCTCCCGACGAGCTCTCTCAACCTCGATAGCCTCCGGTCCAGCATCACTATCATTCCTCAGATGGTGAGTCCATTATCTCCTCCCCTCTCACCGTCATCATTCTCACGTTCGGCAGCCCGAGCTGCTTAGTGGGACACTCCGCGAGAACCTCGATCCTTTTGGACAGTTTGACGATGCGACACTGAATGGCGCTCTCCGCTCGGCCGGCCTTTTCGCTCTGCAAGTCGACAGTGACGATAACCGTGTCACGCTCGACAGCGCGATCTCTGGCGGAGGGGGCAATCTTTCTGTTGGACAGCGTCAGATTCTCGCTCTCGCGCGCGCAATCGTGCGTGGCAGCAAGCTGCTCATCCTTGACGAGGCAACATCTGCTATTGACTACGAGACGGACACGATCATCCAGTCGTCTCTCCGTCACGAGCTCAAGGGTGATGTCACGCTGCTCACAATTGCGCATCGTTTGCAGACCATCATGGATGCTGACAAGATTGTACGTATGTCCTTGCGCATCTTCCGTTCTCGACTCTCAATTACTTTTGCAGATGGTCCTTGATGCCGGCCGCATCGTAAGCAGCTCTGAGCTCTACGCTTTCTTTTGGGCCCTTGTTCAGTTCTTTATTTTCAGGTTGAGTTCGACGAGCCCAGCGAGCTTCTCAAGAAGGAAGGTGGATGGTTCCGCTCTCTGGTATATGAGAGCGGTGATAAAGACACGCTCATCGCCATGGCGTCTTCCGGAAATCGGAAGTGAACTGAACACTGAACATCTGGATCATCCTGCAGGGCTGCGCGATTCGGAAATGGATTGATCTGTACATAACAACTATGCTGCTACCTCACTACAAAGTGGACTTTAGGATTTTCCATGTCCTCACTATGTTTCAAATCTCGATTCCGTAAATACCTACGAGTTGTTCTACCCGTTATTCAGTGTCCTGTGACTCCATAGCTATCAGCTCCTCTGCCTCCGCAGAGCGGGGGACGATGGAGCACTTGAATTCCTCGGGATAACTGGAAGGAGACAGTTCAGCCAATAGCTAACCACTGGTAGCCCATCAAACATAACTTACCTGATAAGTCCTATTCCTGTATACTCGCTCCCGACTGGGATTTCCATACCTTCCGCGTCTTTCGCCTTGCCGATCGTATAGGTCGCCAGGAATGACGCCGCAACGATGAACAGGGTACTCTCAGCTACGTGTCTGCCAGGACAGATCCTGCGCAGGATGAATGAGTGTTGGTCCAGCAATTACCGGGCACATTTCTATGTGAAGCAGACGAACCTCTTCCCGAACCCGAACACCGCCCCGAGGGTAGGATCATCCCGCGATTGCCCGTCGGGCGTCAAGAAGCGCTCGGGGTTGAATAGATCCGGTTCAGGATAGACTCGTGGGTCGTGCAGGATCGCCCTGGAAGGGTGGAGGATGGAAAATCAGGGTTGTGTCGAATTGGGTCCGGAAAAGCTGCTCACCAGATGTTCGCGATGACCGTAGCGCCTGGAGTGATGCAAGAGATTAACATAGACCGCACCGAATACGAGATGCTTTACGGCAGAGAACACGGACCCTTTGGGATGAAATAGCCCTCGTATACGTCATCCTGCGCCGCCGAGTGCGGTACGCCTGTTCCGTTGTCAGTGTGTGCGAACAAGATGCAAGACATCACTTCGCGCGCACCGGCAGGGGCGACGTTCCTCCATCTCAGGACCTCCTTACACACGGCATCGACGTACGGCAGTTTCGTACGATCACTGTAATCAGGCAACCTCCCTCTCCCCGTGACAGCGTCTAGTTCTGCCTGGGCTTTCTGCTGCACCTCGGGATGTAGAATGAGCGCGAGGAAGAGTGTCAAGATGGCTGATACCGTCTGCCGTCAAGCTGTCAGACTGACCCTTGCTCCCGTGAACAGAGACTCACAGAATCTGCTCCAGCTTGTAGGTACGGCGTAAGATAGGTCAGGAGGTGAGAAACGTGTGCTGTGGTCGTTATCTTACCTAGGTACAGCGACCCGGATGCCGCCGCGATTGCTCGCTCTATGTCTTCTGGATTGGAAGCATCCGTCTTCTCGAGATCGAGTAGACATTCACGGGTCACGGACAGTTGCGCCGCACCATACATCTGACAGACAAGAGGGCCATCAATTATGCAACGAGCAAGCCAGAACTCGACACACCATGCTCTGTTTGACGAAGTCAAATGGGTCGTTGACCATCGCGAGGCCGATCTTTGTACCTTCCCGGGCCAGAGCTTTGAACCCCGTCCCAGGAAACCACTCAGGTAGGTACTGCACTGCGTAACAGCAGCTTGATGAGGACGCTTTTTTGACGATCACGAGTTCGGATAACTTACGAAATGGCATGTCGTTCACGAGAACACTGCCAGGTAATAACGTTCGCTGGGCGATTTCGTTGGCATCCAGGGCGGTTTGAAGATAAGTGTCGTTCTCTTCTTTGACATCGTAGCCATACACGAGTGAGAGGATGATGGCGCCCTGCAAACTAAGAGTAACGAGTCTTAACACTCAAGCCAAAAAATTGGACAATGATACCGACTGTTCAATGTGTCGCCGGAAATCTCCAGGCCGTGCTGACAAGTGCTTGAGAAAATCATGAGTTTTGCTCTTCTGCATCGACCGATACTGCACGGCGACATTCGGCCGCAAGCCTCGGTCGAGCATTTTGCGTCGCAGGCGCAATTCGTGCGTGAAGTCGGATGTTACAACGAACCAGTCCCACTTCATCCTATGAAAGTATTAGCAGCTACAGATAGAGTATAGAGGGACCAACTTGCAATTTGAAGAAAGGGATGGACGGGCGTCCTGAATACACCGCAGCTTTTCTCTCGAGAATCTCTCGAGCGACCCGAGCAGAGTTCAGAATGACAAGAGTTTTCCCAAGAACTTGCACGGAAGTGATGTCGCCTTCATTTCGAAGAGATGTGAGTGCAGATACGACCTACTGTCTGAGCGGCCTACCATAGACCTTTGCCCACTCCGTATATGTTAGCCAAGAAGATTCCCTCGGTACGTCAAAGAGGTTGCCAAGAATAGGGAGGGCCGGTGGCCCAGGAGGATGACGAAGGCTCCTACGCCTGCGCTGCTGGTCGAAAGTGGCGATGAGGAGGGTCAGCACGGCTAGCGCGATAAGATCAAAGACAATGGTTAAGGCGGACGTCATTTGGGAAATTCGGGGAGAGCTAGAAAGAGCGAAGACGATAGTCAGCTGAGACCATACCTGGCCTATATACTCGACAGCCTCCGTGTACGTCCAGGGCCAAACACGGAAGACAGATTATCTCTTGATTCTCTCTCACACGAGCATCTGTTTCGACAAACCAAGGACCCCGCGCCTGTCAGATGGGAGAAACGGTCCGCAGAAACAGGGACACCGAGACATCGTAACTTCTCGGCCTCGGACTTCGCAGAATAAAAGTATAAAAGAAGCGGCTGGACATATCTGGCTACAGGTGTCGAGCATCTCCCAAGGCGACTTGCCTGCTCGTCATTGGCCGATTCGGTGACACGATCAGGCTCAACTTGAGCTCAACTCTCCTAAGCAGTTTTTGGACCGACAGATCGTCAGCGGAGATGTTCGACACAACAACCTGGTATACGCAGGGAAAACGTAGCGTCGATTCCGAAGCCTCTCGTCTTCTGGCCGAGCTGACAGCACTGTTGCATGGGAGGCGTGCGAGCCCAATCGATATCAAGAAGAAGAGATACCGACGGCCGTAAGGGAGGCTGGCCCGCAGATGTGCGGATGATATAACTCAGCTGAGAGATGGCGATGTCGTCAACACTTCGTGACTTCGTCAACACTTCGTGACTTCGTCAACTCGTCAACTTGGAGTCGAGGACAAGTGGGCGCCGTGGGAAAACCAGCTTAGATTGGTTGCAATTATTTTCTCGAGACTCGGCCGCAGCGTGTCGCGATTTGGCCACCATGCAGTCTCCCACTGTCAGATCTAAGGAGAACGATGATGGTTGATCGTTCTTGTCATCATGCATCAAGCAATTGCAAGTACTGTCCAGCTAGACTTCGTCGTCGATGTCGGATGGCACGCAAAAGGGTGCGGCTGGGCAGCCAGCCGGGCGCTTACTTGCCATATCCGGCAACTCAACGCGCGCGCACCAGCAGAATGTTTTATTCGTTCCTCTGAGATCCCCGCACTCTTTATTGAAGGAACCTTGCACGAAGTACGACGAGTCATATACCTGATACGGCTTGACCATGTTTGAGATAATTTTGAAGTGTTGTGGCCAAGTTTCAGTCCATCTCGCGTCACCCTTCCTCCTCCCCTCCTCCCGGTGATTCTTCGCGTTTTCCCAACGATTCTATCGGTGGCTAGCGATAAAACTGGGATGGTATCGTTCCAGGAGCATAAATCGTGTTTTTGAGTGCGAATAAAGGTTTATTTACAGCCGCCATAGTTGCTGCAAACCGCTCGAGGTCGAAACCGCCGGTTCGGCCATCTTCCGCTCATCATCCTGGCCCCAGATCTTCTCCAAACCTCCCCAAACTTCTTGGACACATCCACAGATGTCCTGACAGCTCGGATATGGTGTAACGGTTAACATTGCCGCCTCTCACCGCGACGCAAATTCTCGGGGACTTGAACCCCCTAGGAAGAAGCAAATCGGATCGCGGCAGCTCGGGGTTCGATTCCCCGTATCCGAATGCCTTTTTACCGACATTGTACGATGAAACCGGGATGCTCCTGATTTTTCCGTATTTTTCTAGCCATTTTACAAGCCTTAGCGGGGTTGACAGGGTCGAGGCTGTGTCGCTGCCTTTCCTCGTGAACTCCGAGCGAACCATGGTCTCTTTTTCTACGTCCCTTGAAGAATCTGAAGCACCGAGGCTCTTCACCAACATCCTGGAACCAGCTAATTTTCGAGGAAGTACTACGCTCGTGGTCGGTACAACTTTCCGGGCCTCGGATACCCCCAAGAGACAACTTGGTACAAGGTCGTGTCAACCGACCCCTCCACCTGTCCATATCTCCAGTGGGACTCCGCGATGCGTGGCCACCCATTGCCGAATCAGCATCGCGTCCAAGTGAGGTGTTGTCGCCTCCTGAAGGGCAGGTGACGCGTCGCGTTGATTGATGTTGATGGGCGCGTCGAGGTTTCCCACGCTACTGAAACCTCTGGTGACTGCACTACTCTTTACCCAATCTGCACCTGCCTTGCACCGGACAACGTTGGTAAGTTCATCCAGGTAGGTGTGTACCATGGTGGTGTCCGTTTTCCCTGTTCCGAAATGCTGCTTCACCCCCTACCAACTGCGAGCCATGGCTCATATTGGTCGCTTCTACTA